AAGCAGAGCTTGTAATAGAGTGTAGAAGACGATTTCTAATAAAGTTATTGGTGTTTTGTCTCTCGGTTTACCTTCTGTATTATCTATATTGTGATGTCATCATTACATTTACAATGTCATCTATCGTATTTTCTGATTTGATTTGAACTTGGTGAGAAATGGAAGGCTTGGCAGAGAGACATAAAAAAACTATGCGAGAAAGTTGAGAATTGCTTAGTTACTAATTTTTTTGAGATAAGTGTTTATCTGTTCGAAAATGATTAATATTAAACATCTATTTGAGAAACACCTGATTTTTCAATTAAGAACCCTAATTTGGTTTTGAATCAGAATTCAGAAATGATTAATATTTACATGTCTTAGTTTGATTTTCGACCAATAAAAGTGTCAACGGTTATAGATTCACCGTAATTTTTCTCTAGCGTCGTCGAGAGAAGAAGGTGATGGCGGAGATGTTGAATCTCTTTGTCATTCTAGTAGTTTGTCAAGTCTTTTTTTTTTTTGCTTATTTTTTAAAAAAAAAATGTTAGTGAGAGGGTAATTTAAACTTGTATCTATTAATGAGATTTTTAGCTCGAGTGACTATTTATGAGAGACAAATTTAAATGTCTATATAGAAGAATTGTCCTATAATAGCAATCAAATGAATTACAAAGTAATCAAATGATTTATCCAATCCAACGGGACTTTATGAGCGAACAAACGGAACTGTTAACGCCGTCTGCATTTCATTACATTCGACCACTCTCTAGAATCGTCCACGCTGCATTAAGCCGTTAAATAAAAACCAAATAAACGGAACCGTTAACGCTGTCTATTCACCGTTACCCTTTTTTCATTCAGAAACTACAAGAAGTATCTGGAAACATGTACTTCTCATTCTCAGCCAAATAAAAACCAAACAAAACATTTCGGTTTCAGCATCATTCACAATTTTGAAGTTCAAGCAATTAAGCAGTCTCTTGATCAGTTTCGTGTGTTTCCTTGGGAACTAGTAGATTTATACTATTACAAAACTTCACATGGCTACTGCATCAGGTTTGTATCACTTTCTCATCTCTTTAAAAAACTTTAAGAAGCTGGGAATAATGTGTTCATGGCTAGGTTTAGATAAAAGAGGTTGAGCAAGAATGGCTTTGTTTTTTTTTCTTCTTGGTTTTTGTTTTGTGGAATTTGATTATTGTATATAGACTGAAATGCTTTTGGTACATATTTGAGTCAGTAGATATTTGAGTAAAGGCATGAATGTTTCTTGGAACATATGTGATTGCAGTTGGGTTTAAACCTAGAGAAGAGCACCGTAAGAAGCAAGAATTGGAGGAAGCGCGTAAAGCAGGGCTTGCTCCAGCAGAGATCGATGAGGAAGGAAAAGAGATTAACCCTCACATTCCTCAGTACATGTCTTCTGCTCCTTGGTACCTCAATGCAGACAAGCCTGTAAAGTCTTATGTTCCTAAGTATCTTCTTACACCATTTCTTGATTGGCTATTGACTAAATGCTAACATTTTTTGGGTTCCCTCAGAGTTTGAAACACCAAAGGAAATGGAAAGTTGATCCAAACTATACAAAGTCTTGGTACGATAGAGGAGCCAAAACATTCCAAGCAGATAAGTATAGGAAAGGAGCTTGTGAAAAGTAAGTAAGCCATTCAAGAATTACTCTTTTTCTTTCTATGTTTTTTGAGTTCTGTTACTGAGATCTATTTGTGTGTTATAGCTGTGGGGCTATGACGCATAAGACAAAGTTGTGCACAGAGAGGCCAAGAAAGATAGGAGCAAAGTGGACAAACAAGAACATAGCTCCTGATGAAAAGATTGAGACATTCGACCTTGATTTTGATGGGAAAAGGGATAGATGGAATGGTTACGATACAGCTAAATATGCGGAAGTGATTATGAGGTATGAGGCTAGAGATGAAGCGAGAAGAAACTTCTTAAAAGAGCAGCAGTTGAAGAAGCTGGAAAAGAAACGAAGCAAGAAGACTGATGAAGAACAAGAGTCTAGTGATGCTGATGATGAAGAAGGAGAAGGTGATGCTCTGAAACATGATGAAGCCAAAGCTGATGAGAGCAAGCAAATGGATTTTGCTAAGGTAGAGAAACGTGTTCGTACTACTGGTGGTGGAAGCACAGGAACCGTTAGGTTGGTTTTTATGTTTAGTGTCTTGATTCTTGGCTATGTTTTGGACATGTTTTGATTGATATGTTCTTTTCATCAGGAACTTGCGTATACGTGAAGACACTGCAAAATATCTTTTGAATCTTGATGTCAACTCTGCTTATTATGATCCCAAGACCAGGTCTATGCGTGAAGATCCTCTTCCCAACGCTGATCCAAACGAGAAGTTCTATGCAGTAAGTGCTTGAGAATCTATAATTTTGAAGTTATTTACATTGATCCTTAACTAATAAATATGAAATTGTGTCAGGGAGACAATCAATACAGAATAAGTGGAGAAGCTCTAGAGTTCAAGAAGCTTAACATTCACGCTTTGCAATTATCTGAGAAAGGCCAGGTGGAGATCAACATGCAAGCAGCTCCTTCTCAAGCAGAGCTGCTTTTCAAGAACTATAAAGAAGCCAAGGAGAAACTGAAGAAACAGATCAAAGAAACTCTCATGGACAAATATGGAAATGCTGCATCTGTTGAAGACATCTCAAAGGAGCTTTTACTTGGACAAAGTGAGAGAGAAGTCGAGTATGACCGTTGTGGAAGAGTAATCAAAGGAATGGTATGGACAGTCTTGATCCTTTTTTTTTTGTTCATACATGTTTTGTAACATTCTTTTTTTTTGTTTTGTTTTTGATTGTCTTTTTTACAGGATTTGTCGGTGCCTAAGAGCAAATATGAAGAAGATGTATACATAAACAACCACACAAGTGTATGGGGGTCGTGGTGGAAGGATCAAAAGTGGGGTTACAAATGTTGTCAGCAAACAATCAAGAACAGCTATTGCACTGGAGCTGCGGGGATAGAAGCGGCTGAGGAAGCTGCAGATCTAATGAGAACCAATATCGAAAGACATGCTGCAGCTTCTAATGGTATAGAACAGATCTTCCATTTTTTTCTTTACTTTATAATTTTTTTCTCCTATGTACATATGATCACTTAACTATGAATGTGATTTGTTGCAGATAGGTCCGGTCGAGTAGAGGAGAAAAGATCAGCGACTTGGGGAAGTGAAACACCAGCAGATCTTGTTCTTGATCGTCAAAAACTTGCGGAAGCGTTAAAGAAGGTAGCAAACTTGGTCCTTGTAAAGTCTAGCAGTGTGCTCATTCATGTCGCTAATGTCATTGGTTTGCACAGGAGGATGAGAGAAAGAGAGAGGAGAAGGATGAAAGAAAACGTAAATACAATGTCCACTGGAATGATGAGGTAAAAATAATATATGTAGCAGTATAGGTGATTATACCATATCTTTTTATTAACTGAGTCATTTCTAATGAGACGCATGTTTCTAAAATTTAGGTTACGCCAGAGGAGATGGAAGCTTATAGAATGAAAAGAATGCACGAGGATGATCCAATGAAGAATTTTCTGCACTAATATGTTTCCAAACACTAGATACTTTTTCTTTTGTTTATAACATTAGATACTAATGTATGGGTTTTGTTTTGGCATCTATTGATGTCTCTTTGTTTGTTGCTTTTTTTTTTTTTTTTGGTCAAATGTTTGTTGCTTTTCTCCTATTTCCTTCCGAACGAGTATTCCTTGACCTTTTGGTCAAATTGTTTGGCTTCGGCCCCAAGTTATACTTTAATGACAAAAAAAAATACACAACTAATCAGAAATTTGTTTTCCATATCAAATTTGTTTCTTCTGAATCTCAAATAGCAGATTATTACAAAGATTAAGAACAAGCGACCAATTTGTTTGTATTAGAAACTGCCAGAAGCAATTAAAATAAAATGCTTAAATTACATGTAATCGATATTGTTCACTGAGTGAACATTCAAATAAACCTTTAACTTACACAAAGAACCAAAATAATTTCCAACTTCTCTATAAGCTATTTTGATTTCTAACTTTTAAAATTTTCATTTTTAACTTCAACTCGGTTAAATGGAGTTGAATCGATTTAATGTTGATTCTTTATTTAAATGGAAATCATGTTTTTTGTTTCGTTTTGAGAGATCCACGTTTTAAACTAATTTATTTATTTGAGACCGAAAAATCTAAGTATTTTTACTTAATTATTTTTTCAAAAGGCCACTAAGCTAAGTATATTGCATTTTATCTCTTAAATTGACATTTTCTTCATTTTATAATGGGTTAAAAAGACATTTATAGTAACGACGAGTATGTATAAGATATATTTGTTATACTAGCAGCTCAGTGAGATAGTAATCTGGTTACATATATATTAACTAAGACCAAGTTGTAGCTGCAAAACCAAAGGGCAAAGTTACTTCATAATCTAAATTTAATATTTTCATTGATGTGTGTGGATAACTGTAACAACATCCGACAACATAGACTCTCATTGGACAAACTTTCAATTAGCAATGGTAGTATGTTTATTTGATGTTGCGAAAACTTAGACATTGAATTGGTCTAATCTCTTACACTTGAAGAAAATTTTCTTTCTCACAACATCACGTAACATTAATTACAACCCCTGATTAAAATGCCTATTTTAAGACTGTTAAATCATTTTGAATTAAAAAGAAAAGAGAGACGTGGTAAGAGAGAAGGGAAGAGCGCCAAAGTCTGAGGCTAATTGTATGGTAGCTTCAAACATTCCTAAAATGGCGATAATGCCTCAAAATCCATATTACGTTTCTCATATCATCATTATTTGAGACTTAAATTGCTCAAATATATTTTAACGCGTGTGGATACGTTTTGATAGGTCTAAAGAGAATTGGATGAGAGTTGAAAAGGATCAAGCTGAGAAAAGAATCGACGACAGATGCATCTATGAAGACAGGTGAATTACACCACTTGATACTTGTTGAGTTTATCCGACGTTCTTCTCTCGGGTTTCTCAGATGGAATGGCAGATCCTGCTAGTTATGTCTATCACGAGCGTGACATCGACCAAGTTTGTTTCTCTTCTTTTTATTTTTATTTTATTTTAATCTAATAATCCGTCCTCAAAGAGTTACTGTGATACTGAAAACGTTGTTGAATTTATCTTTTTGAGATCAAACTATCATGCGATTATCATTTTCTTCACTTTCTTTGAATAACTTTTTTTTAGAAAAAAAAACAAGATTGTGTGTTTACGTGAGTTAGATCTAACATGAAGTATGCAATATTTTGTAGGCACTTATCATTTTGAAAAAGGGAACTCAATTAGTCAAGTACAGTCGAAAAGGGAAACCTAAGTTTCGCGCATTCAGGCTTTCTCCGGTATTCTTCTACTTTAAACAAAATAGAATAAATGAAATGTTTACGTTGTTTTATGGTATATGCTGACTATGATAATGTCGATGATAGGATGAAAAAACGTTGATTTGGTTTTCGCATGGAGAAGAAAAAGGTTTGAAGTTATCTGAAGTTGCTCGAATTGTCCCAGGACAAAGAACTGTGCGTTACACCTAATTATTTCATCTTTTATTCAAAAAGCAGTCATTTTAAGGTTTCTTACAAATTTTTATATGAACAGCCTGTTTTCAAGAGATTTTTACGTCCAGAGAAGGATCACTTATCATTTTCACTTTTATATAATAACAAAGAAAGGTCGCTTGATTTGGTTAGTAAAAAGATCACTTTAGCTTTCTTCAACTTGTATTACAAAATTGAATGTCACATATGTATTTTTCTTTTAAAATTTTTGTGCAGATTTGTAAAGACAAAGCTGAGACAGAGGTTTGGTTTGCTGCCCTTAAGTATTTAACTGAAAGAAGTCGTAATAGACGTGCAAGAAGTGAGATCCCTGAGGTATATATTTTTAATATTTTTTTATTTAAACCAAATTTACTTCCTTTGCATGTTTGTTCTGGACCGGGTTGATACTTACAACTAAAGTTTAATCCATAAGAATTAATTCTTTTTTTTCTTCAGATACATGACAGTGACTACTTATCCACTGGTCGTCAATCAATAGACATTGTCTCAAACAATATTCCACGTGGTAGAACATCAATCGATCTAGGATATGAACGTGGAAACATGTTAAGACCAAGTACGGATGGTTTTCGGATTAGTGTCTCAAGCACACCAAGTTGTTCTAGTGGAGGATCTGGTCCAGATGATATAGAATCATTAGGTGATGTTTACGTTTGGGGTGAAGTTTGGAGCGAAGGGATACTACCAGATGGAACCGTTAGCAAAGAAACGGTGAAAACAGATGTGTTGACTCCAAGACCCTTGGAATCAAACGTTGTTCTTGATGTTCACCAGATTGTTTGTGGTGTAAGGCATGTTGCGCTTGTGACAAGACAAGGAGAAGTGTTTACTTGGGGAGAAGAAGCTGGAGGTAGGCTTGGACATGGTATTCAAGTCGATATTAGTCGTCCTAAACTCGTTGAGTTTCTTGCTTTAACCAACATAGACTTTGTTGCTTGTGGAGAGTATCACACATGTGTTGTATCCACCTCTGGAGACTTGTTTTCATGGGGAGATGGAATCCACAATGTTGGGCTATTAGGTCATGGTAGTGATATTAGCCATTGGATACCAAAAAGAGTCTCTGGTCCATTAGAAGGTCTTCAAGTACTCTCTGTTGCATGTGGCACGTGGCATTCAGCTTTAGCCACTGCAAATGGGAAGCTATTCACTTTTGGTGATGGTGCGTTTGGTGTTTTGGGACATGGAAACAGAGAAAGCGTTTCAAACCCTAAGGAGGTACAATCTTTGAACGGTTTGAAAACTGTGAAAGTTGCTTGTAGCGTTTGGCATACCGCGGCTATTGTGGAGGTTATGAGTCAGACAGGTACGAGTATGTCATCTAGGAAGTTGTTTACTTGGGGTGATGGTGATAAAAACAGATTAGGGCATGGGAACAAAGAGACTTACTTGCTACCCACGTGTGTCTCTTCACTTATTGATTACAACTTTCATCAAATTGCTTGTGGACATACATTTACCGTCGCACTCACAACCTCAGGACATGTTTTCACTATGGGAGGGAGTTCACATGGTCAACTCGGTAACTCAATGTCTGATGGTAAGGTACCTTGCTTGGTGCAAGACAGATTAGTTGGAGAGTTTGTGGAAGAAATCGCTTGTGGAGATCATCATGTAGCAGTTTTGACATCTAGAAGTGAAGTTTTTACATGGGGGAAAGGTGCTAATGGAAGATTAGGACATGGTGATACAGAAGATAGAAAAACACCAACATTAGTTGAAGCCTTGAAAGACAGGCATGTGAAGAGCTTATCTTGCGGCTCAAACTTCACATCTAGTATATGTATACATAAGTGGGTATCCGGAGCAGATCAGTCAATCTGCTCCGGATGCCGCCAAGCATTTGGATTTACACGTAAGAGACATAACTGTTACAATTGTGGCTTAGTCCATTGTCATGCTTGTAGTTCAAAGAAGGCTTTGAAAGCAGCATTAGCTCCAACTCCAGGGAAACCACATCGAGTATGTGATGCTTGTTACAACAAACTTAAAGCAGCCGAAAGTGGTTATATCACTAACGCAGGCAGGAACAATGTTGTAACCCCTGGACGGTCGTCAATAGATGGTTCGGTAAGAATAGATAGAGAAACAACAAGGTCATCTAAAATTCTCTTGTCTGGAAATACAAAATCAGTCAAGACATCAAGGCCTGGAATTAGACCTAATTTGCGTGACTCTCAAGTTCCATCTCTCCAACAACTTAAGGACATTGCATTCCCTAGTATACTAAAACCTATTGCTTCTGCTGCTGTTCCACAGCGTCTACTAGTGGGACCAACGTCATCGCCTCCGTCCACAAGATCCTCATCACCATTACCTGGAAGATCTTCATCTCCTTTACCTGGAAGATCTTCATCACCATATGCAAGAAGAACTAGCCCTCCACGCACTTCTGGATTTTCAAGGAGCGTTATTGATAGTTTGAAGAAGACTAATGAAGTCATGAACCAAGAAATGACCAAGTTGCAGAGTCAGGTATTCTTTATTCTTGTCCTTTGTTTAAGTATAATGAATCTAACTCACTATTTCACCAACTTTTAGGTTAAAAATTTGAAAGAGAAATGCAATAATCAAAGAACAGAAGTCCATAAATTTCAAGAAGCAGCGAAAGAAGCTTTTGAATTAGCTGCTAAGCAATCTTCTAAGCATAAAGCAGCTACAGAAGCCCTAAAAGCTGTTGCAGAACAGGTTTGCTCCACTTTTTTAACGCTCAAAATTCTTTTGGGAAACATAGCATTTAATCTTTTTCTATAATTAGTTAAAAGGATTGAAGGATAAACTACCACCTGAAGTATCAGAGAGTGAAGCTTTCGAGTCCATTAACTCTCAAGCTGAAGCTTATTTAAATACAAACGTAGTATCAGAAACATCTATACTTACAACTCCGAGACTTGATCAACAAGAAACATCTCCTTCTGGAGACAAACAAGATCAAAAGATTGATGAACAAGTACCATCGAATTCAAGTATATCCGAGACATCGAATTCAACAAAGCCAGTACCAACAGAACCTTCATCATCATCATCATCATCAAGAACAGGTGGGAAGGAAAGTAAAGAACAGTTTGAACCTGGCGTTTATGTGACTTTTGTAGTAGACATGAATGGAAACAAGATCTTCCGGCGTGTTAGATTCAGGTAAAATAAATGAATATAATTGTTTTTTTTTTGGACAAATAATATAATTGTTTTATGTATGGATTTATGAACAATCTTTGATAACATATTTGTTTTGTAGTAAAAAGAGATTTGATGAGCACCAAGCAGAAGAGTGGTGGACTAAAAACAAAGAAAGGTTGCTTAAGTGGTATAGTCCAAATTCATCATCATCATCATCATCATCATCATCACCAAAACCAACGGCTTCTGATTCACCTATTGCTCCTCCACCACCATCGGAACCACCTTCGGATCCGTCAGTCCCTGAGAAGAGCAATGAGGAAGAACCAGAAGTCCCTGAAAAGAGCAATGAGGAAGAACCAGAAATCCCTGAGAAGAACGATGAGGAAGAACCAGAAGTCCCTGAGAAGAGTAATGAGGAAGAACCAGATTCTGAAAATTAACTTATACGTTATGATTGTTTTTTTTTTCATGTGTATCAGTTGTAGAGACAAAACGAAGAATCTGAGTGTTATTGTATTTGCGTTATTCAAATATATGAATAGTTTTGGAAATATGATTGTAATTTCTAAGTTCATGTAGTTTGTAAAACTATCTTGCCTCTTTTGACGTTAGTCTTTGGATCATATCACAATGAGTATGAAACATGAAGTGATTATATATCAAGATTCTTCTGTGATGCAAACCAATATTTAAAGAGAGACCATTCACTTTTATAATATTCTTTCATTCAAGATCCTCAAACTCAAAGATAAAGTTAAATATTTCAGAGAAATCTATAATAAGATTTAAACTTAAAACAATAAAGTAGATTTTGACACCAAACTCCATGCAAATCCGAGTTATGTAGCCTTATGCTCACTGTGGAGTTTTGATCGTCTTGGCCTATGGTTTTGAGTCTATCTATTGACTTTAACTTTGTGAACTCTGCTCATCTAAATTGGACTTATAATATGGGTGGTGGCTTATCTTTATAAATTTATTTGTGTAGTTGACAAAAAAAAAAACTCAAATCATAGAATCACTCTAGCAATAACACATGCGCAGGGAAGATGCTTTTCTAGCAAAATTGTTTTGATGTATTGACCATATTTCACTAAATAAAACAAGAAAAGAAATCACACTTTACCGGCTTGGCTCTGGAAGGTTTTCGATCATTGCCGTTGCTAGCTTGTGTTACTTCATTTCATGCTAATATAATCTATGTGATGACTAAAAAAACCCGTTACAGATCACATGCTTTGCTCTTCCCTTTTGCGCCTCCCAAGAAGTGTACCTTTACTTATTTGAGCCAAACTTCGAATGTAACTGAGAAGAAGCGGGTAAGAAGATAGTTTGATATCAGAACTTAGACCAAGAGGATCCACTTGTATGACTTCATATCGTCGGACAATGTGTAATACTTTGTTGTGGTTCGTGTAATGATTGCAATACACTAGAGATTTTCCTCGTCGGCAGCCAAGAAACTAAACCCATTCTGATTTATCTCACTTTTGGCTTTCACCGTAAAGACCTTGCTCCATGACATGACTGATCCATCAGGACTTGTTTTCACCCATACATGTAAAGTATCTCCAGTGTAAAAAACCCCCCAGCATACAAAGCTGCTCATCTTTAACTACCGATAAAGCTCATATATTAAACGTAAAGGCTGAGGCAGAGATAGACTTTGAAATCTCTCGGTTGAAAAATCAAAACTAAGTAAGAACTTAGTATGTGGCTTCTTTGTTTGAGTAGCAAGTATTTCCCTTCACGGATATGCCACGATAATATTCTTCTAAGAACCAATCAGTAGCCTCACCAAGACTCTCCATGAACTAGAGGTGAAGTCATAAATCTCGTACTTATTGTTGATTGGTAGTATCACCTGACGCTCCACTCTCAAGATTTTGTATTGCTTGTGGAAGAACTTGTTGTCGTAACCAAGAGCATAGTAGTCCTGTTTCTTGTAGATGTCTCTTGGTTCAACCCAACTGGTTTCACCTGAACATGGATTCCAAACCACGTGTCTCTTATTCGTTGTAGTGCAGGGAAAGACGTTATATATATCCACTGGTGAAGCTGCATTAAGGGTGAATTGATATGCTACCTTAACAGATGGAGCAACATCGTTGTGCAGTCCATGGAGATTGATCATCCTTACTAAGAATACCTTATAATCAATCAACATGATACTCAGAGGACCTCTTTTTGTACACAAGCTGAGTGTTTCCTAGCAAATCTCCCAGATTTTAATAGAGCGTGCCATTCTTTTGAAGCTGATCGAAACCGTGACAGAGACTTAGCAGGAACCCTATAGAGAATCTCCTCAATCAAATCCCCTGGAAGGTTTCCCCACTCCATAGAGGCTGTGATTGAAAAACTTTAACCAAGGCATGCGAAGTAACGTACGAGCTTAGAAAGACCTAACCCTAATTATATCTCTCTCAGAGACCTAATTCCTGATCCCTAATAATTTTCCATATTTTTTTTTTCTATTCAAAGGTTTCCATAATTAAGTTATTAAATAATTGCAAAAGATGTTATAATTACACAACTTGTTGTAAGGACAACTATTTTTGACATTAAAAATAAAAACATAATGTTTCAAAGTGTTTGTTCAAAAAAAAAACTGTTTCAAAGTGTAGAAGAACTAACTCTTTTCAGTTAACTTATCCATCGAAATCTCCTCCAAGATGAGACAATGCGGCGTGATTGAATGCTTGGCACTATTTTCCGGATGAGTCATTGCTGCTCAAGAGAAAGAATCCAGCACCTTGACCTTCATCACATTTAATGGACTTTTACACACTTTGGAGGTGCAACTGTTGTAAAGTTTCTTATATGAACTGGAAAAAAGGTTAAATCTTGTGCTGTAACATGGTTAGCAGATGAACTGCGACCTTTGATGGGAGTCTCCAAGATATTGCTCTCGGATAGGACAAGTTTGCAAGCAGCTTTCTTGCTAAAGACAGATACCGTTTCAAAGCACACATCAGTTCTTGCAAATCCCTTTTATTCATTTACTGGCAAACAAAGTTGACTCACTTGGCATCAGTAAATAGCATTGTGGCATAGAGCAAGAGTCTGCACCATAATAGTCCCCTTAGAGTTCCTAATCGAAAATAAGAATGTACTCCTTAAAGCAAACTTGTAAATCATATTTGCTGTTCTCCCATCTTTCGTTACTTGACACAAAAATTTACACACATCAAAAAAAAAAAAAGGATTAATAATACGTTCTCAAAAATACAGTAGTTAGTGGGTACAAAGTTGAAATGATCTATAATATAAGGACTATTTTTACAAAATTTAGCAAACTATGTGGAAACGTGTAATACAGTCTTAAGACCATGTTTATTGCAGGTCCCTTAAGTTGGGTCCCTTAGCGTACGGTGCCTTAGCTTTTAACTGAAAACGCCAAGGGACGTCCCTTAAATCCCTTATATAAGGGACGTCCCTTAGCGTTTTCAGTTAAAAGCTAAGGGACTATACGCTAAGGGACCCAACTTAAGGGACCTGCAATAATCATGCTCTAACTCAGAACTGACCCACACTTCCTCCCAACTGTCTCATTAAATATTTTTCTTTCTTCTCATTAAACTCCAGAGAAAATTTTCAGGATCATCAGCAAAGGAACAATGGGACAACAGCAATCGAAAGGGGAATTGCTGTATCAGCAAGTGAGCTACGGTAACTCCGAAGGGATTCTATCTCTTCATCGTGAAGGAGCTGACCTCGAGGTTTGATTTCGTTGATTGTTTGAATTTGCTCGTAAATTAGGGGCTTTTATGTAATTTGTTGTGTGATTTCGGGATGTAGTGGATGGATAAAGAAGGGAAAACGCCTTTGATCATGGCTTGCATGAACTCCGAGCTTTATGATGTCGCCAAGACTTTGATCGAGTTAGGCGCTAATATTAATGCTTATACTCCAGGTACTTTTGAGTGGTTTAGGATCAGAAAGAACGTTGAGTTATATAGCTGATGTGGTCTCTCTTGTTTGTTATTATCAGCTCGCCATGCAGGGACTCCTCTGCACCATGCTGCTAAAATAGGTCTTCAGAGCACTGCTAAGTTGCTTCTTACACATGGTGGTAGGTGTTTTAATCTCTTAGAGCAAGAGCAGTGGTGTTGTTTGACATGAATCTCTAGTTATATATATTAATACAAAAAGAAATAGTAGTAGAGAGGGAGACTAAAAGATCAAAGACATTGTCTGGGAAGAGTTTTCTCAATAAGTGGAAGATCCTCTCAAGCCATTTGTTTCTCTCTCATTAGTTAAACTTTATTTTTGTTTTAAAATTTAATTATTTACCTAAATTATAATAAAATAATATAACAAGTTCAATTGTGAGAGACTTATCAGTAATGATGATCGCCTTGTTGAGTTTGAGTCAGTGTTTTTGAAACCAAACCGACCCAATGATGGGACCAGGTTCGACCATGAACGGTTTATGTAGTCAGATTATATCTTAAAAGTTAAAAACCATTAAAACTATCAAAATCCATAAACTAACCATATGATTATGAACAAAAAAAACTAGTCTATATTTATAATGTTTTACATTTGAATTATGTGTCATATTTATTAATATTATTTCTAAGTTTATTTATTAAAAATATATATTGAACTAGGTTTGATCCAGTCAAACCATATTGAACTGTGACCTAAGACCATGTATAATGTGGGTGTTAAAACTGAGTTTCAACTGTTGAAAGTCTTCCAATGAGATTGTTGAAACATTGTGTTTGTGTTTATCTACGTGGATTCAACAAGTGTTGTAAAGTTTCAACGGTTGAAAAACAAATTTGTGAGTCTGCGCTGTCACATATTGCGTTGTGAGTGGACATGTTGGTTGTACGGATTGATTTTGATTTTTATCATCTCTCAATAATTCGAATGTGTTATTTATATAATAAATTTTTTTAAAAAAATAATAAAAATTATAGCAAAATTTAAGATTCTTTTTATCTATAAAAAGAGACTACTCTCATTTAATTTGAATAGAGAAAAACGTCATTTTTCTTATATTAACTATTTTCGTGTTTTAAATTTTTTCTTTTTTCTCAAATGGATCCCACTAATATTTTTTTAACACTCAAAAAAAAATTTAATATATAATTCTAATGTTTTAGAAAAAGAAAAATATGAATTAAAAATTATGGGATGGGGGTGTTGAATTTTTTAAAATAAAACCATTGTAGAAGTTTAAAATGAAATGGGTGTTGAATAAATGAGGTGGAAGAAATAAGAGATGATGTGGAATGTTAAAAGATGAAAATTAGAGTGTTGAACATAAAGAGGTTGTTGAAAACATTGTACATGGTCTAAGTAATTATTGGAATAATGCTTCTGGCTGTTTTTAACAAACATTGGTTTGAGTTTGATATTTCATATGGCAACAATCACATGTTTTTGGCAGCAAATCCACTTGTTCTCAATGATGATTTTCAGACACCACTTGAGGTCGCTAGAGCCAGAGGGTTCAGCCATACCGTACGTGCTATTGAGGTATGTTCATTTGTTTAGTCATAGATATGTTTACTTTGTGGATTGTTAACATTTTTTGTTTGAATCGTGGATTCTGTAGTCATATCTGCTTGTTCTCTGGTTGGATGCGTGAGTTTTACGGCCCGGCCATTCTTGATTTATTTGCTCCTCAGCTTCTTTCCAGAAGAGTGTGAGTATCCCATTATACTTCACTTTTAGTATCTGTCTTTTTTTTTGCGCTTCGTGTCGTCGCTTATACGTGCAGTTAAATCTGTTAGTAATTAGTATGCACAGCCATTTAGTTACTATAAATCATCTCTACGCGTATGATTTTCAGATGGGTAGTCATCGTACCAACTGGTTCAAGAAACCCTGCAAAGCATCTCAAGTTGGAGCTGGTTGTTTATGCTAGTTTGCAGGTATGATGATAATAGTTTAGGACGTTTTACTTTAAAATGTTGCATATATAGTTCATCTGCTTCTAAACTGGTATGATGTAAACAGGATGCACAGCCACGCACAGTGATGCCCTTGTGGAAAGCAAACTTGGAGGAACCAGAAGCGACGCAGTCTGATACTTCAGTAATTATTGTCGAGAATTCCACAAGTAAAATTCTTGCTTTACTTTTTATATGTTGTTGGCATGCAACCTCTTGCTTTGTGGATGATGATTGAAATTTATTCTGGTGGATAGTCCGAAGCCGCAGGAGGCAAAGAAGAAAACGTAGACACCAAGTAGTTAGGCGTAAGTTTACACATTTTAGTTGCTAGCTACCATCCTTAGTTTCATTTTAAAATCATATCAGTATCAGTGAAGTAGAAACATGTAATCATTTCTTCTTTTTAATTTACAGAAACACGTCTTAGACTCGCTCCCTCAACTGAAGGTGACGAACAACAGCTTAAATGGTTTTGTGATGCATGTAAAGGAATTCCTCAGGTGACGTCAAAAATATATTAGTCAAATTCATTTTTCCTTCCATCATTCTTTGTATTATATAATGAAACTCTCATGGAGTTAAATATACAGCCAACACATCCCCCAGTGTTTCTCCAAACAGCACCGTCTGCTCCACCACTTGACGCACCAAATATCAATCAGCATTCCATTGGTGAAGCAAGTTCCTCAATTGCACCACCTCCTCCTCCTCCCTCAGGAAAAGCAAACACCTCGGGTATCAACAGCCATGAAAGTGTTATTGTACATGAACCGTCACCATCAGCTCCTCCATTGAAAGATGACGATACAAAAACCTTAGAGGAAGGTTCAATTCATTACCCCATAATCGATTCAACACCTGTTGATGTCCTATCTCCTCCTTTTCTACCAGCTTCAACAGATGGTGAAAAGAAAGAAGATGGGAGCTCTGGACAGTGTTCTATATGTCTTGACGCTCCATCTGAAGCGGTTTGTGTCCCGTGTGGACATGTCGCCGGATGCATGTCTTGCTTGACTGAGATCAAGTTCAAGAAGTGGGGATGTCCCGTGTGTCGTGCCAAGATTGATCAGATCGTTAAAGTGTACCGTGTCTGAAATAGACAGGTATTACAACTCCATGGGATCATCTTTCTCATTCATTGTGTTGCGAGGGTTAAAGTTTCTCAACCTTTGAAACTATCTTTCTCTATTACTCAACCAAGATCAAGAACCCTATTTCTCTGTGGTTGTTACAAACTTACAGTACCTATGTTTTGTGTACATGGTTTTGAATGAAAGAATGTAAAAAGTATTCATACCATATTTTATTTTAATTTACAGTTAAATGAATCAAATATTAAAGTTATTGTTAATATTCTTAGAATAATTAATTGGTAATGAATCGTGGATTGGTTCCCAGAAGTAAGAACAAGAAAAGTTAATTATTGTACGGGAAACATGATGGTTGGTAAAACTATTTGTGTGCAGATAACTTTTCCGTTAATTACTCGCAATATATGTGCCTTCTTGCTCCATTGTAAGACGTAAGTACGTACGTACGTTGAGCTCAATAAAAATAATTTTAGTTACAAATCTAGTGGAATATTTTACTGTTTTAGGTAGGGAGATTCAAATAAATGTTGCTAGGCTATGACATAAATATATCCCCAGCACCAAATGTAGCAAAAAGAGAAGCATCATGTCAATGCTAATTAGTAATTACAAATAAACTTAGTTCTTTTTAGTGGTCTATGAAAGTCAAATTAAAGACACCTCCATTGAAGACTCATGGGGGGTTTCACACAGAAACCAAGAAAAAATAAAATCTAATACTATAAAGTAATGTTTTCCCTCATGTGAGGGATCCACGTCATCAATTAAAACAAGGTGAGCTTGACACGTTGCATCTTAAATTGCGATGATGGGCTTCGCTCCATTACTTAAAATCCGACTAAAATCAGCTTATTAGGCCCAACATAATTAGGTATTAGGCCACACGTTGTCTTCTTCTCCAAAAAAATCAGACGACGAACAAAGTTCAGAGTACAGCCAATGAAAATTCATATATTACACCATAACGATGAACCCCGATCAAGTTCAGATGGATGGCGTCGTATTTGGCTGTTGGATTCGACTTCTACAACTCTTGGTTGAATTTCTGAACCTTATGGAAGTTGGCTAGATTCATGCATCCTCATTGACAGACACATTAACGCCAAATTTCCACTACTCACACGATCTAGCATTCAATGAATCCCCTCATCTATGCCTTTCCTTGGATTCTCCACTATAAATATGTTAGTTTCCTAGCCAAAGTCTCATCACTTCATTCCCCTCAATCACTTTCTTTCTTACTTTTTCAGTGACTGTGATGGCAACCTCTGGCTCTGTGACTTCTGATTTGAAGGCCGACCATTTCAGCTCCACCGTTGAAGTGAGCCTCATCAGGTTCTAGGAGACTCTTTGTCTCTACTCGATAATCTCTCCACAATCTATATGATTGTCCATTGTAATCAGTTTCTGTTTGAAGTTCGTCTTTCTGATCATTGGAACAATCTTTTGTGGATTTTTATTGTAATTTTGATCTCAGCTTAATTCCGAGAAGAGCCCATTTCAACGAACATATCTGCTCAGGTAAGTTCAAGTGGGTGAAGACGCTGTCGAAGCTTTTTTGCTGCAAGAAGTACGAAATCTGGGACTGTTTTAGTTCTTAAAATTGTGTTTTCTGCAACTAGCTTTACAAGTTGCCTTTTTTTTTAACAGGAGCAGTCTGTCGATCCAACAAAGCAAGTAAAGCTTGGATTCCTCGCTGGACTGGTGCCACTTAGAAGATCATATTTAGCACATCTAGGAGTAACATCTTATACGAAGTCTATGAGCATTTTAAAACGCTGTTGATGCCAAGTCTTTGGAGAAGGTTAGCATCTTATCATCTACTCTTAACTAATCTTATTTTCTATTGCATGCTCATGCAAGTTAGAGTCTAAATTCTATGTCCATGTTCGGTGTTAGATCACAGCAGCAGTGATCAGCTTTCAGAATTAACAAAGAAAGAAAATTTAAAGAAAGAGATAAGAAGAAAGCGAGGAAATTTCTATTTCCTGTCACTAAGAAGAAAGTAAAAGGAGTAATAGTGACACTGGGCGACATCGGAATTACCATAGAGCGTTAATTATTTCAGTCAAAAGATTAGTAAAGAAGAAAAGCATGAACAAGTTCCAGTCGCCATTTCAGTCGCATATTTTCACTAACGAACATGGCTATAGTTTCTACATTCTCATATGCATATGTTTATATTTGACATTGGTTCTGCCTCTGTTGTTGTATTTCTGTTTTGTTGATCTACCTAGCCAAAAATTATACGACATGGAATTTGACTTTTGCAAAAAACTTTTTTAATCTGTTTTTTCTCTACTAAAGATGACTTATGATCTGAAATACTGTCCAAGGCGAAGGAAAATGTATTTGTTGTCATCCATTCTTGGAAAAAGGATAATTTTTCCAAAAATTATATACAAAGTTTTTGGGGCCAATGACTATCTTACAATGATGATCTTGGCTGACAAGCTCGAATGATGATTGTGGTATATATAATCTCTTGATATGAGAGTAATTTTGGTGTTTCTCTTCTGTCTCATCATCCTGAATTATGTGTATTTTTTTTTATCTGTAAAACTATTAGTTTTATTTCTAGGAAGAGTAACAAATGATAACTACATTAAGTTGTTGTCAGTTTTTTTTTAATGTAAAATAACTAATAACAAATGTATTATTTAGTGAAATTTAATGTCATTAATAAAATAACAAAATATAAATAGTGAAATTTAATCTTATTCTTATTTTCAATAAGTAAAGAAAAATTAGATACTCTCTAAATTTAAATATATATATATATATATATATATATATTATGTGTGTGTGACTAGATTTTTAATAGTACCACATTAGGAATTAATATGCATTAAATATACAGAAAAAATAAGAATACAAATTAAATCAAAATAAATAAACACATCAAATTTTTTTAAAGATTACCACATAAATTGGCTGAAATAATCCATAATTTATATTCTTGGATATTTTATTTTATCTGCATTGACAAATGTTAAAATTACTTATATAATAAAATAAAAAAATATAAATAGTGAGATTTAATGTTCTTCATATTTTCAATAAATTAAGAAAAAACAGATACTAACTTTGAATATATATATATATATATATATATATATATATATATATATATTATGTGTGTGTATCACTAGAGTTTTAATAATAGCACTTTAGAAATTAATATGCATTAAATATATAGGAAAAACAAATTAGAACGATGTCAAAAAAAACAAATAAATTAGAGCACAAACTAAAATCAAAAGGAATAAACACATCAAACAAATACAAAGATTCCCACATAAATTATATTATATGTTGCTGTTAAAAAAGATATTGTATACACACTAAACTTATATCAATCACTGCGTATAAAAAATAACGGGATAGATAAAAATAACTATGTGGTTTTATGAAAAATAAACAAAACATAAAACATTATAATACTAAAAATAATATAATATTGTAAAATATATTTGACATTAGATAAAAATAAAAATTTCCAAATATAAACAGGCATCAAATTTTGATAAAGATGGTGAAATGTTTAAGTGAACATATCATTCATTTTATTATGAACAAAATAAACACTAAATAACAATCAATTATTTTGAAACGAATACACACAATATGAAGATAAAATAAATCTGAATATCAGGCGTATAACCTAACAAAATAATATGCTATTAGCTTAACATCATCTTGCCACAGAATCTTCACCTCATAACACCACTTCAGTGGCCACTAAGATCTCACAGTTTTTTTCGATCAAATAGAATAAAAAAAATAAAATAGAAAATTGAAGAAAAATGAGAAAATATTGTTACGTTCACTATATCTAGCACAACGATGAGTGTGCTTTTAGCTCAACTGAAACAGTAATTAAAAAAATAAGAGTAAGTATTTTTCCACTTGATTGATAGTTTCTAATAATAAGTTGGAGAAAAAAGAGCACATAATACCATAGGCTCGAGAACAGAACTTGCAAAAATACACAACTATATCACACTGGTCCGTATTACATATCCCAAACAAATATGAAGTGAACCCTAAAATACAGCCACTGAAACTTTCAAACAATTTCTAAATCATTATAAATAATATTTTATTTTCAATGAAACCAAAAAAATTGACATTAATATTTTTGTTAAAAACTAATTGTTTAGTGAAGATATATAATATAATTAAAATAAATTTATAATTATAATAAATAAATTATTATAATTGTAATAAAAATAATTCTTTAGTGAAAATATACAATATAATTAAAACAAATAAATTTATAATTATAATAAATAAAATTCATCAGAAAGAGGATAAATCAATTTACACTACTAATCTTAATACATTTCATTAGATTTATACCAACGAAAATAAAAATACTAAATCTCTCATATTTTTGGTTCTTTTTTTACTACCAAATTTAAGGTTAATCAAAAATACAAAATGATATAAAAATAATTTACAATTAATACATAATGAAAATAATTTAAAAACCAAGAACTAATCAGATATAAAAATAGACTAATTAAAATTTAATTATGCTATGTAATATAACTTGAGTTAATGAAAAGTTTTTTTCTGTGATTAATGAAAAGTTTAATAAATATTTAATAGTTAAATTAAAGTTACAGAATATTTAAACATATTCAAAATAAATAAATAAGTCTATACGTTTGGAAAGACAAAAAATCTATTATCATATTGTTTGCCTTTACATTTCATCAAACCGAAGGAAAAAAAAAAGATTCACACACTAAATTTTCTTTCCATTTTAGATAAATAACATCAAATTTAGAATAATTATCAAAAAAAGATTCAAACAGTAAACAATGAGTAATAAATAACCGAACAATATTTTACGAAAAAATTAAAAATAAAATAATAACACACAACAAATAAAGAAACAAAAGACGATATGAGCCACAATACACAAAAATTCTATGCAAAACACATACTAATAATCTATGACATACAAAATTTAGATATTAATTTTTTTGGAATTC